TGCATGCTCAACAAACCAAGTCTGCCCATGCACAACAGACATCACGTCATCGCAAAACAACCAAGCCAATCATCACACGCAGGCTCACTCAAGCATGAGTTTGAAGCAGAAAGTGTGCTTGACCATAATCAGAACTCCGACTGTCACATAGCACTACCAGTCGCAAACCACATATAGATGAAGCAAAAAAAGTCTAGATGCACAAAAAAAATATCAAAATCATATGTTTTGGCTGACCCAAAAAAAACATTCTGACAAACTTTTCTGCAACATCCCAGCATGCAGGATGCCAGTGACTCTTACTTGACTGATCTGCCAGCTGGCCTTGGGCAGGCACCCGGGCCCATGCCCTTACTAAATCTGGACTACCCCAACCCTGGATGTGGACATGCTTAACCTACACCGGAGGGTACTACTACGACGACCCGGAGGCCTCTGCGGTGATCCCACCCCCGCCGATGCCGGCGACCGGAGCGTCGGGGAGTACGTCAGCTTGGTCCGTGGTGAACGAGCCGCCGAAGGGCAAGGCAGCTGCCCCGCAGGCGGTTGTACCAAAGAGGGGAGCCCGTCGACCTGCGGAGGAGGACCCCAGCGCCCATGTTCACATGAACCAGGACGTTCCGAGGGAAGTGGAGAGCGAGATACAGGAACTCGAAACGCGTCTGGCCGTCCTGAAGGATCGACATGGAGTGGGGGCGCAACCGGGACGACGTTGAGAAAGGAGACCTGTGCGGGCCACGACACCACGGAGATCGAGGGAGGCTACACTGGTAATCACGAAAGCCGAACTCGGGATCAGCACCACGAGCACTACGAGCCCGCGGTTGCCGAGGACCACGGTACAGTCATGGAGCGCAACGAGGCAATCCCCCAGGACTACCACGACGGCGGCGAGATCTACAGAGGAACCACAGAACGTGTCGAGGCAATCCTCCAGGACTACCACGATGACGTCGAGAACCACAACACAGTCACCAAGCGCAACGAGGCAATCCCCCAGGACTACCACGACGGTGTCAAAGACCACAATACAGTCACGGAGTGCAACAAGGCAATCCCCCAGGACTACCGCGATGACGGCGAGATCTACAGAGGAACCGCAGAGTGTGACGAGGCAATCCAGCAGGACTACCACGATGACGGCGAGATCTACAAGAGTGGCCACATATGCCAGGACGATGGTGGTCACAACGGGACGGCCTCAGAACCAGAAGAGTTGGCCCACGCAATGGTGGTGGACACGTTCTTGGCGGGAGCTGCACGTGGCAACAGGAAGGACAAGACCGCTGAGTGTGAACTCCGTGCTAAAGAAGCCCTTGACGATGAAGACTACATCTATGAGACCTTGGAGGAGGTCATGGAGATGATCCCACAACCTACACGCACCAAGCACCGGAGCGTGCATGGCGATGCGGAACCTAAGGCACGACACGTCTTCGGCTACTACGCCCACGGAGGCTTTGGCGGCATATGCAGGCGATCCTTCGAGTACCCCAACCTGGTCCGGTACTTGAACGCATTCCTACAAAGTCAAGTTGGAGACGATCTGAAGGAGACCGGCGAATGGAATGCCATCAGTGTCCTGGAAAACATACCCTCCAGCGTGCACACCGACAACAACAACTACCCCGGCACCTACAACTACGCGGTTTCGACAGGTGCCTATGTCGGGGGGGAATTGTGGGTGCAGCGGGCCGGCGGAGGAGTGTGGAAACGAGGGAAAGGAGATGTGCCGACCGAGGGCGAGTACGTGAACAACTACCAACGGGCGGTGGCGATTGATCCCAAGCTACAACATGGTGTCGAGGAATGGGGTGGAAAACGGTGGGTGCTTGTTGCCTACACCACCCGCAACGTCATGAACGCCAATCCCTGTGAAAGGAAGGCACTCACCGAGATGGGTTTTCCAATCCCCGCGAGGAGACCTACGCCACACAAGGCCACGGAGGACGCAAACACCCGGACGATGCCGAAGAGGAGTGTGAGGAAAGGACTGTGGAAGCGTGCAGCCGAACTTAGCGTTCTCCTCACCACCCTCACCAACGCCTACCAGCACAGTGCGAGTGAAATGTACCGACTCCAACCCCAGCGCCCCAAAACTTCGATGGCAGAGATCGGGGATGTGACGGCCACCTGCTATGTGGCCGATGTCCTGGGCGAGAATGTCAATCTCGCCGAACCGGTCCTATGGGAAGATTACGAATGGTGGAGGACGACCGGAAACCACCCTGAAAGCGAGCAACTGTGGATCCACATCGACAACGTGAGCCACAACAAGCACGGGGAGGAGCTGGAATCTTTGGCGAGCAAGCAGATCCGGAATGGCGGGACGGTCGTCTTCGAGGACAACCTAAGTGACAACGAGGCCCTGTGGAAGGAGATTGGATACCGATGGCGACGGCTTGGATGTGAAGTTGGGGAGGACTACACCGAAGATGGATGCCGGCTACTACGCGTACAAAGGCCCAAGGAGGAACACGTTGTCTATGTCGGCGAAACCGTGGACGGCGGGGAGGAAGGAGACCAAGAAAAGACAGGGGCAGCTGGCATCACGTTCGCCAAGGGCGTTTCCCCACATATAGCGTCGGCTCTCAAAAGAGCCCATCAGAATCTCGGCCACCCGTCCACGGCAGACTTTGTTCGGCATCTACGCGTGGCTGGTGCTAAGGCCGAAGTCCTGAAGGCGGCTAAGGGGTTGAAGTGTGAGACATGCGTCAGAACACAGGCACCCTCTATCTCCAAACCGGCCGCTATAGCGAGTGTGCTGCAGTTCAATCAAGTGGTCGGGGCCGATCTACTGTATGTACATGACGTGAATGGGAAGAAGCACGAGATGTTGTCGGTGGTCGACTTCTCTTCCTCCTACCACATCGTGATCCCCGTGGCACGAAAGGACACGGCCACCCTGGAACAAGCCTTTTGTCACAACTGGGTGAACGTTTTCGGGGCACCTGGCACTATTGCCGTCGACCTGGAAAATGGGCTACAGAAAGCCCTGGCCCGGACCGCGGACTGGACGGGCATGGCCATCCGGAGCTGCGCGGGACAAGCTCACTGGCAAGCCGGGTTCACCGAGCGACAAGGGGGGCTATGGAAGGCAATCTTCAACCGGGTTGCCGAGGACAAGAATGTTGCACAGGCAGACATAGCCCTGGCAGTTGCTGCGGTGTCCAATGCCAAGAACACCCTGCGGAAGGTGAGTGGGTTTTCCCCAGCACAACATGTATTTGGCCAGGCCCCAGTGGTTGCGGAGGACCTAATGGACGGTCCACTAGCACACATGCCCGACGGGGAGGTTGTCATGGACGACAAGCATGCAAGAGAGGTGGCCACACGGACCGCCGCGCGGGCGGCATTCCACTTCGTCCAAACGGACGACCGGGTGCGCCGAGCTCTCCAAGGCCGTGCTCGCGTCCAGGCCCGTGAGCCCAACGTGGGAGACCGGGTGTTTTTCTTCAGGAAAGCTAAGAACAGCAAACGCGGATGGTGGCGTGGCCCAGCTACCATCATAGGCAAGGAAGCCAACAACTTCTGGATCTCCCGGGCCGGCAGATGCCTGCTGTGCGCTCCAGAGCATGTGAGGCTGGCAACCAACCAAGAGCTCGGCCACATGTTCGCTTTGCGGGCCGGCAAGGAGGATATGGACAAGCTCTTGAATGCCGATTTCGATGACAAGGACGCCTACATCGACGAGGAGCCCGAGGGGGAGAACGAGGACCAGGACTTGGACATGGAGGAGGTGGCTATGGAGAACGAGGACATGGACACAGAATCAAGGGGAGTACGCAGGGCACGCGAAGTTCCGCCGGCACCCGTGGCGAAGCGTTACAGGAAGAAGGCCCCTGCCACCGAAGGGGAGGCGCAGGAGATCCTGATGCTCAAGCGTGCAAAGACGGAAAGGTCGCGGGCTAAGCAACTGGAGAAGGAGCTACCCTGGCAAATGATACCGGAGGACAAGCGTGACGACTTCCGGACCGCGGAGGACAAACAATGGAGCGAACACATGGAACATGACGCCCTGGAGATCCTCGACGTGGAGCGCAGCCGCGAGGTGGAGGCCACCGTCCCCAAGGCCCGGATATTGTCCTCGAGATGGGCATACCGAGATAAAAGCTTGGCTCAACGGCGAACCAAGCCAGAGACGCCCTGGAAGTGTAAGGCTCGGTTGGTCATTGGGGGCCATGAAGACCCAGACCTGGCCGGTGGGCGAGTTGTGTCGGATTCGCCAACGGTGTCTCGGGCCACCCTGATACTGCTACTCCAAATCTGTTGCTCACGCCTATGGCAGGCTGCTGCGGGAGATGTGGCGGCAGCATTTCTCAACGGCGTCTACATACAGAGGGAGTTGTACATGCGACAACCCCGCGGTGGAGTTCGCGGCCTAGATCCCCGGCAGCTACTACGTGTCAAAAAGGGCATCTTTGGGCTGACGGAGTCACCGCGGCTCTGGTATGATCGATTGACATCCGTGATGCTCGGTCACACCTTTCTGGTGGCCGGCAAGGAGTACAAGATGACCCCTTGCCCCCTGGACCCGTGCGTCTACATGCTCCAGGCCGGCGCAGAAGAGGAACCCATAGCCTATGTGGCCGTTCACGTGGACGACCTGCTGGTCATCGCCAAGCCCGAGGTGAACAAGTGCGTGAGGGATGAGCTTTCAAAGCTGTTCCCCGTCGATGACTGGGAAGTCGACAACTTCGACTACATAGGCTCTCACATATCCACGGAGAACGGGGAAATCCTCATCAACCAGGAGGCTTTCGTGGATGGACGCCTGTTCATGTTGGACATCGACCCGAAGGCCGACAACGAGGTTGAGGCTACAGAGGAACAACTCATAGACAATCGCTCCTTGGTAGGAGCTTTGTCGTGGTTGGCCGGACAATCACGTCCGGATCTCCAATGCGGAGTAGCTCTTGCCCAGCAGAGACAAAGGGCCCCTACCGTAGGAGACCTCCGCTTCACGAATGCCCTGACCAAGAAGGCGACCGAGCACCGCAGCGAAGGAGTACGCCTCAGGCCGATTCCCCTCGAGAAGGGCATCTTCTACGCCTTCCACGACTCCGGATGGGCGAACGCTGACGAGCAGGACCCAGAGGACGACTTCAAGCTCACCCCCGAGGAGGAGGACCAAAGGACTATGAAAGAAGGCCCGCCAGGACCGGGGAAGGCCAAAAGGGCGAGCTCACGAGTGGCGTCCCAGCTGGGACACGTCATCATGTTCGGCAACCTCGAGGATGCTACTAAGAACCAGACGAAGGCGAGCCTGCTGGAATGGAGAAGCCAAACTTGCCAACGAGTATGTCGCAGCACCTTCGGCGCTGAGACGATGGCTTGCGCAGAGGGACTCGAATGCGGGCAATTCCTACGTGCCCTGCTGGCCACCTTGTTGGCTGGAAAGCTGATAAAGCTTCATGATGCACGAGGATGGTGGCCGATCATATGTCTCACGGACTGCAGATCGCTACATGACCACCTTCACCGCGCCGGAGTACCACGAGTCCCAGCCGATCGTAGATTAGCTGTAGACCTGGCGGCCATCCGCCAGGAGTTTCGAAGGTGTTCCGAACGCGTAGCCATCCAATGGCTGCCGACGACATGTCAAGTCGCCGATCCACTCACCAAGCCAATGAAGTGCCGCGAGTGGTGGAGAGCGCAACAAGACGGGATCCGTCTTCCCTTTGATGTTCTTTCGAAGGTCATCGGAAAACCCGATTTTTGACCAGTGTAAACGTGAAGGTCTGGCGGAGATGCAATCGCCGCTGGCGCACGAGGCACAAGAGTTTGTTTTTGAGGTAGAAAAGCTGTGCGTGTTTTGGTGTCAGCTACCAGTGGCAGCTGATTCCTGCGATAAGCTGTCACCTATATTATGCTTCAGGTTCAGAGCGAGGGGTCTGCGGGATTCAGGGGTGGAACAGCCGCCTGCTGGGAGCTAAAAAATGCCAGATGAGCTTTGCAGCCGCACGTTCGTAATATAGGGGCCCTATGAATTAGAATAGGGTTTGGGGTATATTTTTACGATAAGTATAATAAGGAGCCCCCAGCATAGTATTGGTAATTATTTAGGCCCCTACATTAGAGAGGAGAGCGTTTGTCTAAGATTTCGGGGTGTGTGTTGTCCGCGAAGGGATAGGTGATGTTCAGACTTGGAGAACTAGTTCACTATGAACAAAATGGGGGTTTCCGAAAATAGGGGACCCTAATATGGTACTATAATGGGATCCCTATTATACGGACCCCAAAATAAGGTACCCCTTACTTTGGGAAACTCCCACATCTGTGCGACTGACCAGCTTCAGCACCCAAGTTTCATGCCTTGGGAGCGTTCGAAGTTCAACTGGGCTCATAGGAACCCAGGAACCCTAAACCCTATAAACCCTAAACCCTAAACCCTATAAGCCCTAAACCCTATAAACCCTGAACCCTATAAACCCTAAACCCTATATAAACCCTCTCCTCAAAGCATTTCGGGAGCATCTCTCCCATAGCCCCAGTACCCCGGAGCACCCAACCGTGAGTCCCAATGCCCTACTCTCCTAGGTTCCCATACTAAGGGTTTAGCGATTTAGGGTTTAGGGTTTAGGGTTTCGGGTTTAGGGATTTTGGTTTAGGGCACCCTGCTCTTGGCAGTCCGTTGTTGTTAAACGGGAATCCAAACACGAAAAAGGGCGAAATGGTAGTACTGAGGAACCCAGAATCCCAAGAAATCCCCGCAATTTTAGGGCTTACGGTTTACCAGACAACGAAGAAGATGGGAGCCGAGCCAGCCCGATACTGCCACAAACCCGAGACTGTCGCAAAAAAAGTCTATGACTCCCCAGCTTAAGGGTTCACCCATAGGCCCCATAGCAGTTCCTTTGTGGGGTTACCTTATAGGATTCTATATATGAACCCCCAAAAGGAACTACTTTAGGGCCCATGGGTAGTGACAACAAAACGCGTTCAACAAAACTCTTCTAGCACGCTGTGTTTAGGGTTTAGGGTGTCGGGCCCTCAGGCGCCTTGGAATCGCTGGAAAGGTCTACGAAGAGGTCTTCCACAAAAGCCCGACCCTAAACCCTAAACCCTAAACCCAAACGCTAAACCCAGGCGCCTTGGAATCGCTGGAAAGGTCGACGAAGAGGTCTTCCACAAGGGCCCCAGTCACAGCCAAAGGCAGATGCAACCCCTCGAACAAGTCCGGCTTCAGGCTCGCTTTCCTTGATTTAGGGTCTAGGGTTTAGGGTTGAGGATTAGGGTTTAGGGTTGAGGGCCTAGGGTTGATGATTTAGGGTTTAGGGTTTAGGGTTGAGGATTTAGGGTTTCGGGTTTAGGGTTTAGGGTTGAGGATTTAGGGTTTAGGGTTCAGGGTTGAGGATGCGGGGCTTCAGGCAAGAGGGTGTAGGGCTCTTGGACAGTGGTCCACGGGCTAAGGGGTACTTTTAGGGTCTAACAACTTAAGGTTCATGGCTGAGCGTCTTGGGTTCAAGGGCCTCGGGTTTGGGCTTAAGACGGTCTCGGGATTTACGGATGCAATCTTCGCAATTGGGGCCGAAAGGTACTTTGCGGAACTTCGGGGGAAGGCCATGTCCTTACGGTCCAGGGCCAATGGGCTTCGGAGTAAGGGGTTTGGCATAACCCTAAACCTCGAAACCTTTATAGTTTCTGATTGTCATATAAGCGGTATACGGTTAAGGAGTTTAGTAAACAGTGCAGTTCTGACCCCAGAGCTGCTGGGATTCCGCTACGAAACTTAATTACCACTGAAAAACATACGAACAACTTGAACAAGAAAACATAAATCATACAAACATTCAAACAAAAGATGCTTTCCACACTATGCCTCATAAAGAAACCCACACTGACGCAGGCTTCTGGTCGTTCTGGATCCGCCAGACCGGACCCTCTTAATGCTTGTGGATGACCGCGAAATAATATGGGTTTCAGAACAACTCAATCGAGATCGAGATCCTAAACTTCAGGGGACATAACTACACCTCCGACACCAACATACGGGATCCAACTTACCGATGTGGGCCTCCAAAATAGGAACTACAAACAAAACGCATACAGATCTTGAGCCGTCGCGCATACATTCCTACGGACCTTAACGCGGAACAATGCTCAGAACAAGACCAACAAAGCCCGAGCTTCTGCAGAGTACTGCGCCGGTGTGTAAGAACTGTAAAGTATGATGGCAAAGTCTGGAAGCTTGAGTAATAAGCACGGGCGCATACATGGACATATACACACATATTCATGTGTGTGTGTGTGTAGATATACACACATTCAACTACATTCACATCTGCATACATGTACATGTGTGTATATATATATATACGTATGTATGTATGTCTGTACGTATGTATGTATGTATGTATGTATGTATGTATGTATGTATGCGTATGTACGCAGGTAGGTATGTAGGTATGTAGGTATGTAGGTATGTAGGTATGTAGGTAGTATGTAGGTATGTAGGTAGGTATGTATGTAGGTAGGTAGGTAGGTAGGTAGGTAGGTAGGTAGAGAGGTAGGTGGGTAGGCAGGTAGCTAGATAGCTAGGTATGTATCTGCGAATGTGTGTATGTGTGCGTGTATACATAAATAAGTGTATATATATATATATACATAGATATACACCCCTGCACATATGCATATGTGTGTATAGATTCCTTACGGCATGGTCCGGTCATCAACTCCTACATCGGAACCCTGAACCCTGGATCCTATAGAACCGTCGTAGAGCCCAGATGGTATTCCATAAAATCCCGAATGCCGCCCTAACGCCCAAACCCGGAACCCCCTAAACGCAGAACCCCCAAGCCCAAATCTTAAGAATCTGAAACCCCAAACCCTAAGTTTTAAACCCTACGCCCTGAACCTGAACCCCCAACCCGCAGACCCCAAGGCCAGGCTTCTGGATGTGGATGCTGGAGGCGGAAAGGTCCACCTTGACATTCGTGGGCGGCACATCCACGTAGCAGCCCAGATTGGCCATGAAGGCCTACAAGGGTGTTGCGCTAATTGAAGGTTTCACTGGCTTGTAAAGTTTAGTACCACGCTTGGCGCTGAACCCAAAGCCCTACACCCCATGAACACCTTAAAGGGTTAATTTTCAGTGTCTCAACAGAGAAAAGGGCCTGCGGAAGTTTTCTGTAACTGCGCTTTGGAGGACTATGCTTGATTCTTCCGACCCTTATTTACTATATGATTCCACATGGCTTTTATGGGGTTGTAAACTGTTTCAAGAAGCCTAAGCTTTCTGTACGGGCTTGGGTTTAGCGGTTTGGGACCTACCTCAAGAACCCAAAACCCACTTTTTGTAGGTTCTTATTATAAACCCTTATACGGGATTTATAGGGACCTTACAAAAAAGTAGGTTTTGGGTTCTTAAGGTACGGGCTCAGGGATTTAAGATTGATGGGTTCAGGCTTAGGAATTCAGGGATTGGGGTTGAGATCCGGTAGTTGAAGGTTTAAGGTTTAGGGTTTAGGGTTTAGGGGTTTAGGGGTTTAGGGGTTTAGGGGTTTAGGGTTCAGGGTGGGGCTTTCAGGGTAGAGGCGCATAATGTTTAGGATCAGGGATGGAGGGTTGAGGGGTTTGAGGCGAGGATTGCTCCGGTTTTCAACGGTTAGATTTCGGTTTTTGGGTTTAGGGTTTAGGGTTCAGCGGGTATGTCGTGCGTTGCAGTGTCTTCGCTGATGCTACGACGGGTTGGTGGATCTACGGACAGGGAATTGCCAAGCTCACGCTGACAAGACATACTGGCCAAGCAGTTTTTGGAAAGACAGTACAATACTAGGCTGGTGCTGATGTTACCCTTCCGGCAACAACATTATGTGGTTGACATTGATGCATGCTGCGATAATGATGCGCGCAATCTCCGTAAACGAATCGCCCAGCTGAAGCTCATGCTGTGCGCTCCTGTGGCACTCTCCCGACATTCATTACCCATCTGACGCTCATGACACGCACTGCAAAGGCAAATCGCCAACAGGTTTTCCCCGGCTGATGATGCACTCTGCCAGGGGAAGTTTCCCGACAGGCAGTACCCAGCTGATGCTCATGATGCACGCGGCTATGGCGATCATTTATTGCTATTACCGATCGTCCAGCTGCTAATGATGATGTGCGCTGCCAGCGAATCGCCCGACAAGAGCACAATCCTGCTGATGCTGAGGATGCGAATGGCCGGGCCAGTTGCCGCCTGCCCGGCAATCCCGACAAGTACTCCCTAGCTGATGCAGGCTCAAGGCATCCTCACCGCAGGCAATACCGAGCTAGTGTTGGTGATGCGCACTGCAGCCATGTCCCGAAAAAAGCTGATGACGCAGAAAACCGGTGCACTCTGCATGCGCTGCCAAGACCTGATGGTCGCTCCTGCCAGGACAATGTCAAACCGCCGACAGGCATCAACCAGCTTATGCTCATGATACGCGCTGCTCGGGCAGTCTGCCGTACAGGCATCGCCCAGCCCGTGCTCATGATGCGTGCAGCTAGGGAATTCCTCCGACCCATGATGCGTGCTGTTAAGGCAATTCTCCAACAGGCGGATGTTCGTGATACGCAGAATCCTTCCAAAGGCAATACCCAGCGGATGCTCATGATGCACGCTGGGGCAACCCTCCGACAGGCATCACCTAGCCGATGCTCATGATGCGCGGCTCGCGCAGTCTCCCGTACCGACACGCATCACCCAGCCTGTGCGAGGATTGCCTCAGCAGCACATCATGAGTCGGAGGA